TCCCGAAACGGTATTAATACATCACCTAAAAGGGAAAGACACGAACGAAAAACCTTAAACAGTAACCGTGACAGATCAGAATTAAATATAACAAAATCACAAAATCGTCAAAGAAGATCAACAACCCAAAACAGAACACAAAGAATGTAAAACTGTATTTATAATTAGCCATAATGCATTTTCTTCTGCCTCCTCCACTGGCTTCCCAAAGGCTAAGTGGGGAGCACAGGCTTACAAGTACTGGAGACGTTCTGTTTTCCTAAGATGTATTCGTTTATTTATTGTTTGTTGGAGATTAAAGCTAGTCATATTTTGTGCACCAATCAAGACTAGACCCGCTATTCAGACAACAGCAGTCGCCTCATCCCTGTACGTCGCTTTACCAGGCCTTCTCAGTAATGTATCGGAGACGAAAAAGCTCGCTCATACCACGTGACCCGAAACACATAGGCCGTGTGGCCTAGGGAGCAGTACCGGCTGCTGGAGTGATCTTTGTTTTTGACCTTCAATATATGATTTATTATCCTGTGAAGTTTGTTGCAGTAATTAACGTTTTATGCTTGAACGGACCTAATATACCTTTCAACTCCTGAAATCATGGGTACGCCTTTCGGACGGAGCGCCCCGCGTGTTATAGGGATTACTCCCTTCACTTCACTTCACTTCACTTCACTTATTTATTTGATGAAACCTCGTTCATTAAATGAATGATATTATTTACATCTCGGATCAGCGGATTTCTAGAGAATCGTAAACAAAAATAATTTGCGGAACTTTGCATCGTCCGCAATTTCTACAACATTATGTGGTTTATTATTCCAATCTCTAATTATACGTGGCACAAAACTGAATTTGAATATGTTAGTGCGAACATAAATTGTGGTGTAATATCTATTGTGCATATGTGTTGTTTTTCTGGCCGGCTTTGATAATTCATCCAGGGACAGGATTGCGTTGTTATCTAATCCCTTTTTGAGGGGACAGAGTCTGTCTACTTCTCTCCTGTTCTTTAGAGATTTACAACCGAGATCCTTTAAAAGCGTAGTGACACTGCCAAGTTCATAATTCTGGTAATCAGATGTTACAAAACGCGCAGTTCGTCTCTGTGTCTTTTCGATCTCGTTTGATAGGTTATCCGTATATGGATCCCAATCTTGGCTCGCATACTCGAGTAATGGTCTTACTAGGCCAAGATAGGTTGCCTCTTTTACTCTTCTCTCACATGTTGAAAGGTTCCGTTTAAAGTGTATATGACACGAAATTTTTTTTTGACGTTTTTAGTTCTTCAATATGTTTAAAATACCTTTCCGAAATTAAAATTCGACAAAAATCTTGCAAAACCTGTTTTTTTCTGCCTTCAAAACACTCGAATTTGCCTCAAAAAATGTCCGCCCTTTCGCGCGGCCAAATTGACACGTGATGTTTGTCTGTGACGTAGATTGATTTGCAACAGAAAACAAGACTTCGTTACTTTCGTTCATATCCGATACATCGCTTGCCTCCGAATCAATGGACATTTTTAGCCCCCGAAACACCAAGATATTGTATCAACAAAATGCAAAGCAAAGACCAGAAACGTAAGCGTGGGTTTTGAGCAAGCAAATCAACTGACGTCACATTACGTTATAAGCCTTTGTATGATCCTTTACTCGTGCCCAGTCTCTAGGACATTTTTGAAGGGAAAAAAATAAGTTTTTCACCTACCAAAATCCAAGAATTTTTTTTGGAGACACATTTTTAAAGTTCAGAATTGTTAATCACACTTATCTAAGGACCAAAAAAGGGCAAAAAAAAATTCGTGTCATATACACTTTAAGGAGACCGAGTAGTTTGTTAGCACGGCTTTTTATATCTGCTACATGGGCATATCTACACTGGGACCGGACATGGAAGGTTATAAAGCCCTGTGTTATTGTGTTCTGCAGCTGGACAACGACAGAAGAGCATTTGCACTTAGAAGTATTGTTTTGAATGTCAGTCCATTTGATAAAATAAAACGACAATTTATCATTGTCTATGTTTACTACTTTGACGACAAGTTCACATTTTCTATCAGTCAACAGTAGTTCATGAGCTCTAGGCGCGTTGCGCTGAGTTGACTATTAATTTTGACTCTAGATCTTTAGCTTAGAAAGGAGAAGAAGTAGTCTTATTGAAAGTCTAATTGTAGGTTTAGTGGAAGATGATAAGGATTTAGAGCCTTAGGGGTTGACCTAGGGGACCGGGCGGCCACGTACTTTTTTTTTGTGAAATTTCGTATCATTTTAAAAAAAAATTAAGTAAAATAAATTTTTCTTAATTTGGATCCAGGAAATTGTCTTTTTTGTTCTTGTTACTATTTAAAATGGTCACTTTGTATTTTTGGCTCTTTTTAGCTTTTTGTTTCCAGCTGGGATGGCATGGATTGCATCATTACGTCATTCACCTTCTTCTTCCTCAGAAACTTTGCATGGACGAATTTGTTAAAGAAGTTGCCATTACTTTGCTTTTCATCAAAACGGTTGCTTGGCTCAGCCTAAACCCTTAGATAAAATATCCCATGATTATAAACAGTGATTTTTTTTTGCCTTTTCACCACTCCAAAACATCGTCATCATTATTTTGCGGCCTGTTTTGAGCAAAAACAAGAAAACGAAAATAAAAAAAAGGAAATAAAGGTTGTCAAGAAATCATAGGCTTAATCCTCTTTGGAAAAAATGCAAGATAACTGCCACGCATCGAAATGTTGTGGTGTAATGTCACCGCATCGAAAAAAACATCAGACACATTTTCTTTTCATTTTCTTGTTTTTTTTTTTTTTCACTGCGCGTACTGCACGTTACTGCGCGTAGAATGGCGCGCATCCTCGTTACCAGGGTTCCCTCCTACTTTTGACCAGGCGAGGGTCCTGAGAACGGGGTTAGAAAAAGCAGGCTTTCATCGGGACAATTTGCGCATTTGAACATGACATAAACATCGTTGGGGACATTTTGCGAGGGCTTACATGACCCAATACCCGCATGGCGACTGGGTAGTACTTGGTGTAAGACTGCCCAAAATGTCCCGGGCCACCGCCCACCGCTGTCAGTGCTGTAGTGGCTGTACCCTAGTAGACACAATGATACCTGTAGTGGCTGTAGTACCTGTAGTACCTGTAGTAGGTGTAGTGGCTGTAGTAGCTGTAGTAGCTGTAGTAGCTGTAGTACCTGTAGTACCTGTAGTAGCTGTAGTAGCTGTAGTAGCTGTAGTAGCCGTAGTACCTGTAGTACCTGTAGTACCTGTAGTAGCTGTAGTAGCCGTAGTAGCTGTAGTAGCTGTAGTACCTGTAGTACCTGTAGTACCTGTAGTAGGTGTAGTACCTGTAGTAGCTGTAGTAGCTGTAGTAGCTGTAGTAGCTGTAGTACCTGTAGTACCTGTAGTAGCTGTAGTAGCCGTAGTAGCTGTAGTAGCTGTAGTACCTGTAGTACCTGTAGTAGGTGTAGTACCTGTAGTAGCTGTAGTAGCTGTAGTACCCGTAGTACCTGTAGTACCTGTAGTACCTGTAGTAGCTGTAGTAGCCGTAGTAGCTGTAGTAGCTGTAGTAGCTGTAGTACCTGTAGTCGTCGTAGTAGCTGTAGTAGCTGTAGTAGCTGTAGTAGCTGTAGTACCTGTAGTACCTGTAGTAGCCGTAGCAGCTGTAGTAGCCGTAGTAGCTGTAGTAGCTGTAGTAGCTGTAGTACCTGTAGTAGCTGTAGTAGGTGTAGTACCTGTAGTACCTGTAGTACCTGTAGTAGCTGTAGTAGCCGTAGTACCTGTAGTAGCTGTAGTAGCCGTAGTAGCTGTAGTAGCTGTAGTACCTGTAGTACCTGTAGTAGGTGTAGTACCTGTAGTACCTGTAGTACCTGTAGTAGCCGTAGTAGCTGTGGTAGCTGTAGTACCTGTAGTAGGTGTAGTAGCCGTAGTAGCTGTAGTAGCTGTAGTACCTGTAGTACCTGTAGTACCTGTAGTAGGTGTAGTACCTGTAGTAGCTGTAGTAGCTGTAGTAGTTGTAGTAGCCGTAGTACCTGTAGTAGCTGTAGTAGCTGTAGTAGCTGTAGTGGCTGTAGTACCTGTAGTAGCTGTGGTAGCTGTAGTACCTGTGGTAGCTGTAGTAGCTGTAGTACCTGTAGTAGGTGTAGTAGCCGTAGTAGCTGTAGTAGCTGTAGTACCTGTAGTACCTGTAGTAGGTGTAGTAGCTGTAGTAGCTGTAGTAGCTGTAGTAGCTGTAGTAGCTGTAGTAGCCGTAGTACCTGTAGTAGCTGTAGTAGCTATAGTAGCTGTAGTGGCTGTAGTAGCTGTAGTAGCTGTAGTAGCTGTAGTAGCTGTAGTACCTGTAGTAGGTGTAGTAGCCGTAGTAGCTGTAGTAGCTGTAGTAGCTGTAGTAGCTGTAGTAGCTGTAGTAGCTGTAGTACCTGTAGTAGCTGTAGTACCTGTAGTAGCTGTAGTAGCTGTAGTAGCTGTAGTACCTGTAGTAGCTGTAGTACGTGTAGTAGCTGTAGTACGTGTAGTAGGTGTAGTACCTGTAGTACCTGTAGTAGCCGTAGTAGCTGTAGTAGCTGTAGTAGGTGTAGTACCTGCAGTAGCCGTAGTAGCTGTAGTGGGTGTAGTACCTGTAGTAGCCGTAGTAGCTGTAGTACCTGTAGTACCTGTAGTACCTGTAGTAGGTGTAGTACCTGTAGTAGCTGTAGTAGCCGTAGTACCTGTAGTACCTGTAGTAGCTGTAGTAGGTGTAGTAGCTGTAGTAGCTGTAGTACCTGTAGTACCTGTAGTAGCTGTAGTACCCGTAGTAGCTGTAGTATCTGTAGTACCTGTAGTAGGTGTAGTACCTGTAGTAGCTGTAGTTGCTGTAGTAGCCGTAGTAGCTGTAGTACCTGTAGTAGCTGTAGTACCTGTGGTACCTGTAGTAGCTGTAGTAGGTGTAGTACCTGTAGTAGCTGTAGTAGCTGTAGTACCTGTAGTAGTCGTAGTAGCTGTAGTACCTGTAGTACCTGTAGTAGGTGTAGTAGCTGTGGTAGCTGTAGTAGCTGTAGTAGCCGTAGTAGCTGTAGTAGCTGTAGTAGCTGTAGTAGCCGTAGTAGCTGTAGTACCTGTAGTAGCTGTAGTACCTGTAGTACCTGTAGTAGCTGTAGTATCTGTAGTACGTGTAGTATCTGTAGTAGCTGTAGTAGGTGTAGTAACTGTAGTAGCTGTAGTAGGTGTAGTAGCTGTAGTAGGTGTAGTAGGTGTAGTAGCTGTAGTAGGTGTAGTAGCTGTAGTAGCTGTAGTATCTGTAGTACGTGTAGTATCTGTAGTAGCTGTAGTAGGTGTAGTAGCAGGTGACAAATGATCTATTTGGTATCGACCTTGTTCAATCAGAAGTTTGTGATTACTTATTTTAAACTGGACCAAAATGTTGTCATTCATCATAATGTCTTAGCTGGTAGAGATAATCAGTTGTAGAATATTCATATTTAAAAGTTTTATAAAATTCCATTTTTTTTTAATTTTCAAGACTGTGTCGCAAAAAAGATAGCGGATATTTCTCTCTCATTTCTGTGGTATATCGTCCAATTTAATCATTATCTAAAGATTCTGTATCTAAACTGGTTAGATTGTATTGTTCAAACATGTTTATGAATTTGCAATAATATCCGAAATTATTCATAGAATGTACATTCTTTGACATAAGGAAAGACTGTTTGATTATAGAGTCCTTATCGTTGGTGGTTCGATAAACAAAATACTTCATAATGTTTTGATTTCTCGGGATAAGCAGCGGCAATCTACCAAGTTTAGCTCTGCAAGCTATGTTAGAGGCCTTATTGTTTACTTGTGAATAACGTTTAAAGAATTTTAGGTGAATTTTTTCTATTGGGGATCTATCCCATTTTTTTAAAATCTTGCTCGGTGCACATCCCCCTTGCCTCGCTGTTGTAAGTTAAGATGGGGAATATCCAGTGAATATCCTTGTGTCAAGAATTTGGGATTAGGTATCAGGATTAAGTTTATTAAGAACTGTCGTGTTTGCTTCCGAATACTAGAAAACGCCTGAAGGGCCTTCTCTTTTATATTAGTTATCATTGTTTATTTAAGGTGGCTTATAACAGTTTTCCGATGACACCATTGTCTTTTCAAACTTGGACATTTTTTACAACTAAAGGCATTCACTGGACTGAATTGATGTAATTAAGCTTGTAAAAACATTTTTAATGCGTTGTATAACGCGAAATATAGTGGCCAAGCACCCCAAAAGGGGACTGGAAACTAGATCTGGGCTGGATGGGAAGGCAATGTAATAAGATGACAAGACACCCAAGACACAAGCAATGCCAAAAATTCAGAGGGCAGTCGCAGCGCAGCGCTGGACTTTCTCTACTTCATCAATCGCTAACGGAGGTGTAGCGCTCTATTAAACTTGCTGAATGGAGAGCTCGCCTTCAGTTTGAACACGTAATTGTTTCTACATGAGTCAATCAGGTGGGGAAGAGAGACGCCCACTAGATATGGAGGAACTCACTTATTTTGTTTGCAGGAAATTACTTTTGTAACTGGTTATAATAATGGGTGATGTCATGAACGAGTAGTGTAGGAGCTGCTTGCAAGGTCTTTCATAATTGGAGGCGGGAAACAAAGACAAGTCATTCTTTTGGGTCAGGGTTAGGCACCACTGGACCCTCTTGAACTAGATCCTTGCGCATGTTAATACTAGGGAACCCACCAACAGGGCTTGTCTTTCAACATAGTACACTACTCTAGCCCAACAATACTACCAAGTGTGGAATAGCTGAACTTTTCTAGCCCGAAAGTGCCTCAAATCTCAACCAATAGATACAGTTGTACCATAATCTACCTAAGGATCAAAGGCTTTGATATAGACAGGGAAAAGTGATTTAAAGGTGGCTTAGTTAACGTCATTTATTATGGTGTGATTTCTTATTCTTAAATTTCTTCACCTTTGGTCGACTTAACGTACTTCTTCATACCAAAAGCTTCATCGTGCCATGTCCGCTTTAATTTTGAGTATTAGGCGGTTCTGGGCGAAAGGGGGAAGAGGTAAGGTTGAGAAGGCCTGATACTCAGTCTACGTCTGCTTATATACTGGTCTGTCAACATACAAGAACAACAACAACAATAAGCTTTATTTTCACAGCCATAAAAAGTTTCAGCTTCAACAGAATTCCATCAGTCATGAACAGAGCTGAACAGAAACACAAACTCCAAACTTTTCATTCAAAACGTTTTTATCACCTACAAAGCCAGTTCAAATGTTTACAGTTTTTATTACCAATATATCGTGAAATGAGGTTTTTAAATTACCTTTACGCGTTACTTCTCTCATATATTTTACTAACGTCAAACGTGAATTTTTCACACAACATTTTTTTTGGCATTTTTCTTGGCTCATTACATTTCTTTCTTGATTTTAACTCCGGACAAAGTTATTAAGCAAAGCTGGTTGCGCTGAAAAATTGCACAAAAATGCTAAGAAATGGTACTTTTGTTTGTACAATTTGCATATTTTCATAACTTCAGACCAAACAAACATTTTGTTTTTCGAGCAACTTTTGAGTAAGTTTTGTTGCAATAAGCAACTTTTGATCGTTTTTGGCAACTTTTGAGCATTTGTTTGAGAAATAATGAGAAACTTTTTGGAAAATCTCGAACAACTTATGGAAAGCCCTACCGGTCTGACCGGTCATCCTAGAGGAACTTAAGTCAGTTTTCAAAATTACAAAGGCTTCAGTGTTACTTTTTCGAAAATTTTAGTTGCAATTTAACGATTTACGAAAGTGAGGATTTTTTTAGTTACCTCTCCCCATCACATTTTAGAATCCAAAAAAATAAAATAAAAGAAAAATATTGTAACGTGGGAACTGATTTTGAAACATTAAAAATCAGAATTCGTAGGGAATTTATTAGGTATAAAGCATCGAAAATTGTTTATGAATGGAAGGTCCATCTGGAAATTTTTAGTCTTCCTCAAGCAAAAGAAAATTCTTGGCAATATTTCCTTCTCCGAACAGATATTTCGCAGAAAATTGTCTTTGGGTGCCCCTGGTAGCCTCGCCGGGTCAATTTTGTGCAATTGAGCATGGGACACCCCAGTCGTAAGAACAAGAGAGGTCGCGTAAAAAGATAAAAGCTAGAAAATATTTCTATATATCACTAACTTGATCAAATGTGTGTGAACCTTGACGTTCCTTTCATAAGCTTGTGCAAATCGTACTTTGTAGAAGGTTCCATTCAGGACTCACATATACCTACATTTATATTGTATATATTCTCTCGCCCATTAAATCGACCGTAGTTTATATTAATCCCTTTGAATATGGACTCGGTTTCACTGGCTTACTCCTAATAATCCTCCAAGTTTGGTCGATTGACTAAATGGATTAGCCCGTTGAACCCGAAATAATGCGAAATAGCTTTGAAGCCCGCTTAAGCTAATTTTCGGCAAAAATGTATACTCAACAGCTTTCGTATTTTTATTCATCAAATTTTTATAATACGCATTGGCCACTCTGCTGCTAATAACGATCCCATGAACCTCATATTGCTGGGTCTAGATTCCTTCATGTTGCGGTGCAGCGGCACTTGAAAGTGAGACTAGTCGATATGAATGCTTGGAAAATTGGCTGGAAGGTAGAAAGGAATCTTTACAATTCCTTACACCACTGGACGCCCCTACTAAGGCTGCTACAGCTACTACAGGTACTACAGGTACTACACCTACTACAGCTACTACACCTACTACAGACACTACAGCTACTACAGTTACTACACCTACTACAGCTACTACAGTTACTACACCTACTACAGCTACTACAGCTACTACAGGTACTACACCTACTACAGGTACTACAGCTACTACAGCTACTACGGCTACTACAGCTACTACAGCTACTACACCTACTACAGCTACTACAGCTACTACAGCTACTACAGCTACTACAGGTACTACAGGTACTACAGCTACTACAGCTACTACACCTACTACAGGTACTACAGCTACTACAGCTACTACAGCTACTACAGCTACTACAGCTACTACAGCTACTACGGCTACTACAGCTACTACAGCTACTACAGCTACTACAGCTACTACAGGTACTACAGCTACTACAGCTACTACAGGTACTACAGCTACTACAGCTACTACAGCTACTACAGCTACTACAGCTACTACGGCTACTACAGGTACTACAGCTACTACAGCTACTACAGGTACTACAGCTACTACAGCTACTACAGGTACTACAGGTACTACAAGTACTACAGCTACTACCGCTACTACGGCTACTACAGCTACTACAGCTACTACAGCTACTACAGCTACCACAGCTACTACAGCTACTACCAGCCACACAGCTACTACGGCTACTACAGGTACCACAGCCACCACAGGCACCACACCCACTACAGCCACTACAGCCACCACAGCTACTACGGCTACCACAGGTACCACAGGTACTACAGCTACTACAGGGCACTACAGGTACCACACTACTACAGGTACTACAGGTACTACGGGTACTACAGGTACTACAGCTACTACAGGTACTACAGGTACTACAGCTACTACAGCTACTACGGCTACTACAGCTACTACAGCTACTACAGGTACTACAGCTACTACACCTACTACAGGTACTACAGGTACTACAGCTACTACAGCTACTACAGGTACTACAGCTACTACAGCTACTACGGCTACTACAGGTACTACAGGTACTACACCTACTACAGGTACTACAGGTACTACAGCTACTACAGCTACTACGGCTACTACACCTACTACAGCTACTACGGCTACTACACCTACTACAGGTACTACAGGTACTACAGCTACTACAGCTACTACAGGTACTACAGCTACTACAGCTACTACAGCTACTACTGCTACTACAGGTACTACGGCTACTACAGCTACTACAGCTACTACAGGTACTACCGGTACTACAGCTACTACAGCTACTACGGCTACTACACCTACTACAGCTACTACGGCTACTACACCTACTACAGGTACTACAGCTACTACAGCTACTACAGGTACTACAGCTACTACAGCTACTACAGCTACTACAGCTACTACGGCTACTACACCTACTACAGGTACTACAGCTACTACAGCTACTACAGGTACTACACCTACTACAGGTACTACAGCTACTACAGCTACTACGGCTACTACAGCTACTACAGGTACTACAGGTACTACACCTACTACAGCTACTACAGCTACTACAGCTACTACGGCTACTACAGCTACTACAGCTACTACAGCTACTACAGCTACTACAGGTACTACACCTACTACAGCTACTACAGCTACTACAGGTACTACAGGTACTACACCTACTACAGGTACTACAGCTACTACAGCTACTACAGCTACTACAGCTACTACAGGTACTACAGCTACTACGGCTACTACAGGTACTACAGGTACTACAGGTACTACACCTACTACAGGTACTACAGGTACTACAGGTACTACAGCTACTACGGCTACTACAGCTACTACACCTACTACACCTACTACAGGTACTACAGCTACTACAGCTACTACGGCTACTACAGGTACTACAGCTACTACAGCTACTACGGCTACTACAGGTACTACAGGTACTACAGCCACTACAGGTATCATTGTGTCTACTAGGGTACAGCCACTACAGCACTGACAGCGGTGGGCGGTGGCCCGGGACATTTTGAGCAGTCTTACACCAAGTACTACCCTGGCGACTATAAACTTTTGCTGAATGCTACTAATTATTTGTTGTTTTGGAGCCAGAAGCTCTTTTTAATGGCTGGTAGAAGCCCCTTGAAATGTGATAATAGTCACTGACTTTAAATAGAGTGGTTTGGAACCATACACACGGAAAATGGCTGATGGAACAATAGTGTAATACAACGCTCGATGTTTGACATGTGTGCATTCAACGTCAGAGATAGTTTGTAATAGAGGTGAGCAACATTATACGTGAACGTCATTTTTTACCGCTATTGATATCAACAGTTATTTTACAAAGGGTAATCGCACAGTGAACTTGACGGTACAACAAACAAAATGAAAAATCCATCATAATGCAATTGGTAGCGTACATAAGCCTATTTATTCACACTCATGTAATATTGATTATCCCATGCAGTGAGGAATTAAGCATTTAATATCATAGGTGACGAATTACTCCTTAATTTTGGCGCGAAATTTCAGCGATAATTTGTAATTTCTCATGTGAAATTACAAAATTGCCATGGCAACCTTCCGTATGTCTCAGTGTCAAGATGGCGACGAAGTTTCAAACTGTCATGAATGAAGATGCCAGGGCATATAAATACGCTTTAGAAAACCTGAACACACCAAAGAGCACATCAAGAAGGATTCTAAAGCTCTAAAAGTTTGAGAGAATGGAGTTCTCGATCGATACAATCCAGGATAAACATGTCAAAAATCCAAGATTGCTAACGTATTCATCACCCATGATATTAATAGGTAATCAAATGGTATACTCGTGAAATTAGGGAATAATTTCACTTGCGTTTTGTCCAAATCCTAATAATTTCCCTCGCCTAAAGGCTCGGGAAAATATAAGGATTTGGACAAAACGCGCGTGAAATTATTCCTTAATTTAACTCATCACCATTTGATTACACATACATATAAACCTGAATAATGTATGCAAAGTTGTCATTTCGCAAATAGTGTCATTGAACACGGATCAGGCAGGTTTCTGCTCCAGCACAGTCTGCTGCCGTTTTGTTGGCTAAGTTGCAGCAGGTTATATATGCTTCAACTTTGCCACAGCAGCCAATGCAAGATATTGGCAACATTGCAGCTCAGTCGGGTGCATCTGGGAGACTTGCGACTGTTGATCAGGGTTCAAAATAAAATCACAGCTTTTAGCCTGAATCTCTAGGCTATTATTATCAAGGCTTATTTTTCCCTTGGCTGTCAATAATGAATATTCAATAAGTTTGCTTTGTACATGTTCAGCAATTAATGGCTGATGATTTTAAATTCTTGGAACCTGTAGTGAACACATTTGTTCCTGGTAATTTCCCCACCCACTTCTTGCAAATCCCGGCATGTTAGGATTGTATTTAAAGAATAAATTGGGAGATATTTGTTTGTCTTTTTCCAGCTTTCAAATGTAGATGTCTTCACTGACATCACTGATTCATGTGTGACGTAAATGGCACTTTCTAAACACTTTTTTCACTTCTCGTGATCTGGATGTGTGTACAGTCGAACCTTGATTATCCAGACTCGCTGGGACCAGACGAAATTAATAGTCCGGATAATCGAGGGTCCGGATAATCAAATATATGAATTTTAATGAAGAACAAAACTGATTGAATTAAGGAAACAACATTTAATTGTGAAACAACACTATTACAAATCGTTTGGGGGGCCAGAAATTGGAGTGCCAGATGTTCGTTGCTGAATAAACCAGACATACAGGGCTTTATCGAGCTGTTCATCATGTGCAACTTTCAGCAATTTTCGCTTCACTCTTTCGCTGCCCGTACGAAACGAGCAGCGCTGCTGCAGCGCTGCAGAATGACTTCAAGAAGCGCTACAAAAGAGCTGCAAAAGGGCTGGCTGCAGCAGTAGCAAAAAATGGCTGTTTCGCGCTGCAGTCAGGAAAGCCCTTTGACAGCGATAAACAGCGCTGTTGCAGTGGTGCAGAATATTCCCGAATCACGATCTGCGCTGCAAAGTGGCTGCAAAGTGGCTTCGAATTTTAAGACAAAGAATGTTGTTCCCGGTAATGGCCTACCACTCGTTAGTACAAAAAAAAAGAAATGCAGACTTCAATAATACAATAACCACGAAACATGGTGGAGGAGTTGACAAGGCCTTAGGAGGAGTAAAAACCACTAGAAAGTCAAAATGCAACTGATACTTTATTAGTATCCACACGTACACGTTACAAAAGCAAGTGACATAACAAATCTGCAACAGTCCCGCTTTGTAAATATTCAGCAGTCACGGTCACTCATCTAAATGTAAGAACTTCAATTAACATGCAGACATTGAAGTTTATCTTTTTTTAAAAATAAAGAGAATAACAGCGACTGTTCTACATAAAGTTTACACCGGACAACAGCCAAATGATATTTTGATTCGTTGCAACACGTTAAGCCTGACATCGCTCACCTTGACGTTTTGGCCATGATCGACGATCTGCTACACTTTTTCGTGAAAGAAATCAACCCAATCTTACTTTGGTCGTCGTTAAATTTTACAATGGACTAAGGAACGTACATTATCGTTGAACGTTTGAATCTTGTAAATGCATTCGTGCCCCAGCGAAGATTCTTGCATCTGTGTTGCTTGCTCTGGTTCAATTCGTCGGTACTTCGCGCAGAATTCACCGTACAGTGCCGTTGTTTACAAATACCTTTGAGCTGTTCCATCCAAAAACATCAACAGAACTTCCATCTCGAAACAGAACTAGATGCAAAACACTTACAAATTTGTATGAATGTTTGCGCCTTTCATTCAACGCTCACAAATGTTTGTCTAGAGATGTAATGGGATCTTATGCGAAAGTGCCGACCAATTAGATTACAGCCTAGAATGTCTCCAGGGAATTAGCGATAACATTCCCACACTCGCCACTCACGGAATGAAATTTATTAAAAGCATAGAATTTGAAGGTTTATTCAATAAGTGATCTTCCTTGCGTACAAGCTTACTCACATTTCTTAGAGGTACAGTCAAAGTTTTCTCGTTATAAAAGCCGTAATCTGTGGCAAGGCTTTTCTGGCGATTCATGTTATGTCATGAATGTTTTGCTATCAGATCGAGCGCAGCTGAATTGTAGCGTTACTGCAGCTACTTCGCAGCTTTTGAAAGTCGGCAACTCCGCTGCAAAACCGCTGCCGAGAGCTTCAAAGGCTGCACAGCGCTTTTGCATCCCGCTGCAACTTGAATTAAGCTGCCGTTTGGCTTCTAAAACGCTGCTAAACAGCTGTAATTTAGCTGTACAGCTATTTTGAAGCGATTTTGTGGCGCTGTACAGCGCTGCCAGTTTCGTACGGGTGGTCTCTAAGATGTCAGCAAACTTGCCCGTTTCCTTGTTCTTGCCGATATCAGAGATCTGCTGCTTACTAACACCATATTAAGCTGACAAATTGGTTCCTTTTTCTCCTTTCTCTAATCGCACAATTATAGACTGTTAATCTTTTATCGAAAAAGCGGATCGCTTGCACTTTGAAGACATGATGATCAAACATCAGTGGTCTTAAATTTCACATGCCTATTCCAGAGAGCAGAAATCCAAGTAAACAAATATAAATGCAGTAAGCTGTCCACAAAGGCTGAGTTTTTTCTCCAGAGAATCTAGTCTGAGATTCATTCACCAATCGCAGCACCGGAAATTATTTGCGTCATGGCATTAACATTACAACCAATCAGGGTCTGTCCCCAACATTCTGGGGAAACGGAAACACAATTAACGGTGGCAATTCACAGACGTCTCTTCTCCCGTTTTTTTCTGAGGGAGGGGGAACGTCTGTACACAGGCTATCTCGAATTAGAACACAGTAAACTATGTACAAAGCAACCTAAACTATAAAATATTGCTCATCCCTTTAAAAGAAAGAGATAAAGTTGTATCTGTCAGTTTACCTTGATGGGCAAGCTTATGCTGGCTCAAAGCTAATAAGTTAAGTCTCAATGTCGCCAAAACAGAGTTTATGGTTGTTAGCTCGAGACAGAAACTACAGTCCTTAAATGACTACACAATGAACATTTATATAGATGGCATCCCAATAAACCAAAGCATTCAAAGCAAATCTCTCGGGCTTATCATTGATGAAGATCTCTCGTGGAAGGCCCACATCCATGAAATCTCTAAAAAAGTATCCTCTGGTATTGGTACTATTAAGCAGGTCAGGCCATTTGTTTCAATGTACACTGCAATTAAAATACATGTATACAAAGGTCTTATCGAGCCACACTTCGATTATTGCAGGGCTGTTAATGGGATGGCTTGACCCAACAGCTTAGTGAAAAACTTGAAAAACTTCAAAATCGTGCTATCAGAGTAATCACCAAATCTACTGTAGCTATGATCCTAGTTCCAGATTTCTTCTTCACTCGCTTGGTTGGGACAATTATTTTATCAGTTGGAAGGGCTAAACAAAAGGCTAATTTAATGTAAAGGCATCAATAATCTCACCCCAGCTTATCTCTGTAATTTGTTTGCCCCAAGAACACCAAATTACTTTCCGCAACGCGAAGGAAAAATTAACCCCGGAGTAGTCAATCGATAAAAATCGGTATCGATTTGTCATTTGATAAATCAATGAAAATCGGTAAATCTGATTTGATTGATATCGATTGTATCTGTCAATCGGTAGAAATCGATGACACACTCGTTTCGTTTATCGATTTATCTTGATTTCTACTGATTTCATCGATTCATATCGGAAGAAACATTCTGTTCATCAAAATATTAAAACTGAATTCATGCAAACAGTAAATTTAATTTTATTGACAATGGGTGGCAATTGAGAGTCACAGGATCAAACATTTATCACATTATATTGTTTATCAAACATCACTTATAAAGAAATATTTAAAAACATCTTATCTTTTCTTGAAATCAGGATTAAAATCTTCTTCTGATGGCTGATATTGGCCAGGTCTGTAGGCTTCCAGTTTTTCAGGATTTGAATCTACCACCCTTTCAATATAATGTTGGTGTAGATCTGGGTGTAGTTACATCCTGGAGGACCCGGACTAGTCAATAGATAAAAATCGAAATCGATAAAAATTGTTAGCCATCAAGTGATTTTTATCGACTGATATCGGAAAACAGTGAAAATTGATTGAGGAAAATCTTTTCGCCTGAATCCCCACTTGATTTAGGACTGTCTGAAATTTAGGCTGGGAAATCTTTATTACCTAAGGATGTATTTCTCATGATACTTGCCTGCTAGAACTGATTAAAAACCGAACTGTTTTTGTTATAATGTACAAAATAAAGGATTTTAGAGAGAAAGTTGAGTCTGTAATAGTTTCCACATTTCTCGTTTCCATGTTTGCTGATCAGTTGTTACTCGTGGATGAGTTTTTTTAGCTGTACTATCTAACTCGTGCCAAAAGAACACAATGGCAGATTTCAGTTACAAATCGTTAAGACTATGAAAAATTGATTGACACAGCAATTCAGTTTATTGATTTTCACCGATTTCCATTATCAATCGATAAAAATCACTTGATTGCTACAGATTTTTATCAATACCGATTTTTATCGATTGACTAATCTGGGAATTAATGCTTCCAAAACCAAGAACTGATCGCATCACACCAGAAACGTAGCTAGCTTAAGTTACAGTGGTGCTCTTCTATGGAAAAATCTTCCTGAGGAATTATGCACATCAAATTCCTTATTAGGTCTCTTTAAGAGAAGTTCCCATAGATGGTTTTCTGATCAGTACTCCCACACGGCAAATATGTAAAACAGTTTTTGAGAATTTTTAATTTAATTTTCTATGTTAGACTGTTGTTTTTAACCGTGTATAAATAAGGTATTCATTCATTCAATCATTCTCTTCATAACATTACTTTGGAATTGCTGGAAATCAACGCAATTTCTAGAAAAATCGTATATTTTTTTAGAGATTAGAAATCCGGTCAGTGTAAAACGCAGACTGCGGACTGCAGACTGCAGACTGCAGACTGCAGACTGCGGACCAGGGGTAAAATGCAGACTGAGTGTAAAATGCAGACTGCAGACTGAGAGAAAAATGCAGACTGGGGTAAAATGCAGAATAAAGACTGTAGACTTTTTTAAACATTAATTTGTGCTCCTTCTCCAAATCGGTGAAATAGCTAGCCGGTATCAGTTACACACTTCGCTTCCTACTTGAAGTGGATTGCACATTCGCCAGAAGTTTCAATGAACATCTGAACAGGTTAAGTCTGCGTACCTTGATTTGCAATACTTTCATAGAAGGTCATCCAAATTTCCTGCAGAACATCTTTCTTTGTTGTTGGAATGATTTACTCCCTTTTTTTCAGCATAATTCTTCCTGTACAGAATTTTGGGTCAGCAGCGTAAACATTGTGGTGTTGTAACAATTCACGGTCCCTGGTCACGTATATTGAAAACTTCGCGTCTAAACTTGAAGGGTGAGGTCTCTCGGACGGAAAAAAGGTTCAAGATTGCGATTATATGTTTTTGGGTCGTCGACAACGTTCTAGAGAAGAAAGTCCTCAATGGATTTGTGAAAGCAGATGTCATCAAGTAAGTGTTCGTTTACATGTATTTGCGAGATTTTTTGACCCTTAAACCTTTCCGCAACTACAGTTTATGCTCGGTCTGCTAATTACCCCAGTCTGCATTTTACTCTCAGTCTGCAGTCTGCATTTTACGCTCAGTCTGCATTTTACCCCTGGTCCGCAGTCTGCGTTTTACACTGACCGATTAGAAATCTATCATATGTATGGTTAACATGAATGTTTATAATGTAGTTGGCTTTCTCATACATTGTCTTTCTCATTCAAAGTACAGTGCCGAGGCATGTCCCTGGGTATTATGGCCACCTGAAAATGTATGTGATTTTATGCTTCAAAACAAAGCCTTAGATAGTAAAGTTACAATGGATGCAATGTTCTAAAAAAACATTTGATTATTATATTTTTTGTAGAAGAGTTTGAAAAGGACAGTCGTGCTCCTAGAGGAAACCGACCTGTATTTGAATGCTACTGGAATGGAAGGCTAATTCCATACACTTACACTGGTGTGTAACTTTGAACGTTACAGTAATTGTAAAAACTGGGAATTGTAAAATCATGCTGATCCTGTTATTATTCTTTTGTGTCAGACTTGAATGGTGTCAGCCCCCAAAGAAGATAACTATTCCAATGGAGTGTCACAGCAGGTATCTACCGGGTAATAATAATAAAGCATTTGCTCATTAGTGCATGTAACTTTAGTTTGAGGCCCTTGTTAAAACTTACAATAGCTGCCACTTTTTCTGTCATATGTGCACTGTATGGCCTCAGCAAGGAGCACACAGGCCTTATAAAATCTTCAGCCTGCAGAGCAAGGCAGCAGGCTTTTAGCCAGACATTCTACACTGGCCATCCTGAAGGCAAGTTTTTCCATAAAATTATAAGAGATTAAAGGGACTGGTTCACGATAATGCGCATGTGTGAGTTCTGACAGTAGCTGATTGTTTTTCAACCAATCGGAAGCGAGTTAGATGCACGCAAGTAAGTTTACAAAATTCAAATTAACTGTTCGCGACGCGAGAGTATTTCCGGGCATTTGGTTTGATTTTAGTTATCCCCATAATTCAAGTTTATTCTTTGCTACTCCTCAGATATATGTTGAAGCCGATAAGAATAAGATTTACAGCCCTGCCCTGCTTTGAAACAAACATTTACCAACGTGTATTTTTACTAGGTCGTACCCACGCTAACAAAACAGTCACCGATCGGCAAACAAAATATGTAAACAAACATCTTATTACTGTTCTCTCAGTTCGCCTTATATAAACCCAGAAATATCTACAAATAGCGTCTGACCGGTGACAAAAGCACACAACGTATGAGTATAAAGATTATCCTTAATTGAGCATAAATTTCAATCGCTTATCAGCAAATGAACAAATTCATTCGCGTTGCATCCGGTCAGTGTTCCGGAAAACAAACGTTATCGAGTAGCACACATAAAGAAACTAGATTATAAACTGAATATTCAGGCAATAATTTATTTTTGAAACATCAATTCTTAAACATATACGATCGTAAAGCAAAGATACAAGGAACATTTCAAGTGTACCAGATCGGTGAAGATCGCGCGACCTGTTGCGGTATAACTACAGGTCGGAGTCAAAATCAAATCAAAGTTGAACGAACTCATGCTTTTAACCACTTTCCAAGTGTCGTGTATTCTTTTCGTATGCCACACACTACTCCTAGAACCATACTAGATCGATAGGCTAAGCTTCTCAATCTCCAGAGACTCTTGAGAACGTCCTGTTGCCGGACGGCCACGATGCTCTTCCGAACCTCCATGATCAAAACATTATTTTTGGCGTCTTCTTAAAACGTAAGCAGTCAAACGACACAACCACACGTTAATCACCACTACCGAAGTATAACTAGACCAGCCAAAGCGACGGATGTCCGAATAAAAAGAAGGATTTTCAATGATTGTACCGGTAATGGCGATTTCGAATTTAGTGTTGACCCAACAAATTTATTCTGAAGAGACAAAAGGGCGCATGCGCATTATCGTGAACCAGTCCCTTTAAGTGAATTTTCCTGTTTTTTAAAATAGATGTCCATAGGACGCCTGGACACCCTTTTGGCTAAAACCTGGCTTGGCAGTCTCAACAATGATACCTCTTTGGCAGTACTGACCTTTAAGGAAGAAATAATAATGATGTAGTAATTCAAAGAAAATTCTATATTACACTGCTGTATGTTTGTATTTTTGTGCCTGGATAGTGCTGTATTACAGTGTACAGTGTGTACCCATAATTATGTGGTGGTGTTTTCATTTGATTTCTCATCATAATGATTGGGTATTTTATTCAAATGTTTGATACGGTGATATTCCCTTGGATTTTGCTTCAGCTGCCACTGAATTACTTCGCTTTAAAATTTTGTAGGTTTTCAGGTTGTCTTTGGACAAATGACACTTTTCAAGTCAGTACAAACAAGCTGACATTTATGGATCTGGAAGTAAAGATCAAAGGCAAGAATACCACTTCAGCAGAATCATTTTAGGAGGGGTGGGTGTAATGATATAAGGCCAAGTTCAAGTGTCAAATGTTTTATTTACTGTATCTAATTCCTTTATTAATTTTGTACAGTCGAACCCTGCTTTACATACACCCATTAAATAGTACAGACACCTTGTTATTATGGACAGTTCTCTATGTCCCTAGGGAAAGCCCTTACAATTTCTCTAATTTCATTTCACTTAATACAGACGCATGTTAATGCAGACAGACACTTATTTCTTGCCCTATCAACGAATATTCATAAAAAGCCAACCTCTCTAATGTGGACACTGTCACTTGTTATCAACTGTGTGCTGTTATAGACCTTTCCTTTTTGAAGGTAAAAAATCCTTCGGTTGACAGCATGTCAATGCTTCCAGCGCTACATGATACACCGATAATTGAGGTTGAGGTCTGTTTGGATGTTGAATAATTATTCAGAGGCCTGGTAGCATTTAGAAACATTTAAGTGGGATAAGTGTCCTGCAAGCAGAGCTTTCTTTCTGGCGTGCTTTTTGCCTTGTGTGAGTCGTTTATGCGGCACACATCACTTGGCTTGTTTACGTTTGCACGTATTGCGTGCCTAATGCAACAAAGAAGTGATCTTGAAAACTTAATTTGAGTTATGCCCTAATAATAAGGGGTGTCAATGAAATTTCAGTGAAATAGAGTATGTCTGTATCAACAAGGTTTGAAAGAAGCCTTCCTCTGTATTACTGTTCAAATACTTTCATGTCTGCGGTCAGTTTACCAAAAACTTCAGAATTGCTGCAGTTTTTTTCATAGACATAGTGAATAGATTACTTTCATCCAAGTGCCCTGGTTCAAGTAATTGCAAGTGTAATATCTCATATTATTTTTTAACCCTCCAGGAGCAAAGGGTGAACATTTCAAGAGCATTTTATGACTGGGTGAGATGGTGCCATAAGAACCATGACAAATAGGTGATGCTGGCTAAGATGAAAATTTAAAAGATGATTTATCCCTCAGGTAAGCTGTTGCCAAAGAGCAGTTGTGCAGGCCTACCAAACTCGTCTTTCTAGTACATACTTTTTCTCCACAAAATGTGCTTGGCTGTCATGCAGGCATCTTGTAACTAAAACATGCCAGCCTGACAGGTTGATGCCCTATTGTCATACCCTGTGCAATTAATAGTACAGGGTGACAGTTTTTTTTTCTCCTATGCTCTAAAAGACTATTATTATATTCTCTCCTCTTCTTTTTTTGTGTACTATTTATGTCTTTAGAAATTTTGATTAATGGGCATGTACAGTGCAAAAGATAGAGCACTCTTCATCTACTATTTGTCTATAGATTAAACATGGCTGCCAAAGTTTCAGTCTTGGATATAATATTAGGTATATCACTGGTGTAATAGCAAATCGACAATGGGTGGAATATTTCTGATGGTATTTTTCCTTTTTTTAATTTCTGAGTTTGTTGACTGAGTCAAATACTTTGTTCTTACATGTACTACTAGGTCAAGTTCTTAGGATATCAAGGGCAAATCAAGCGGCCAGACCTGCCACAGAAGTGAATTCAAAGTCCATGGTGTGTTTTTAACCTATTGAATAGGATATGGAAAGGTCTTCAAAGCAGGACAGCTGGTGAATACGGTCATTTGATAATGTGACTTTTTTCTACTTTGCTTTTTTACAATATGTGGCTTTCTTAAACTACATGTAAATGAAATATTATTATACCATGCAAGCTTCTTAAGAGTATGATTGTCTTTCAATGTGCCAGTTACAATAATGGTGTAGGGTACATGTAGTAAATTCACCCATTCACCCACCCCTGGGAATTTTGGTGGAAAAATTAATGCCTTTTGAAGCTCGCTGTTTTGTGGTCACCATAATTGCCACTGTATGAAGGATTGTCCTCTATTCAATGACTTTAATTATAGTTGAATAACCTATATGACTTGATTCCATTTTAGATAAGGATGCAATGGACCTTACCATTAATTTGTGGAACAGTAAAAAGATTTGTTCTTTTTGGTGACCATGATGGAGATGTTTTTGCCACTGGAGGAGAGATGGAAATAGTTCAGGTAATCTGTTTCACGACTTACTGCAGCAGACCACTTCACTTCATGCCGATGTATATTAAATAGACAATGCTGTTACAACTGTTAAACACTTAAAGCCGCATTATTATATTCAAATACCAATTCTCCAGACTGATCTCCATATATTTCCCTAAAGAGCCGGTTATGAGAATTTGTTTGTAGATCAAAGCTTTCCCCATCAGGTGATCATTTTATTTATTCTCACAACATTTTCTCTTGATTATGTATTGATTTTGTTAGGAGAAAATTGACTTTGGTCACTCTTGGAACCTAAAGGTTCTTATAAGTGATTTTCTAGACTCTAATTTGAGCAGTTCTTGTGCAACTCCTTCTTGTTAATATCTTGACAGCTCTTTCATATTATTTTCTAAAATATAGCTTAATTTATCACACGTTATACTCACTATTATCTATTTTCCCAATGGCTTGGAGCCTGCAGCTAATTGCTAAATAGCTCGCTCCGCTCACTAAGAAACTCGTCAGGTCAACTTGCAGCAAGTCTAAGGACCGTGGGATGTTCCAAATACTCATCTAATGATAATATTAGTTAGTATTAATACTAGGTACAGGTACCGGAAAAATTTAATGAATCGTTGTCGTTGTTGTTGAGAAACCAACTCTCCTCAGTTTGTTTTTTTTTTTTTCACTTTGGAAATAACTACTGTAGTCAGTCCAAAATTGTGGTGCACTTATTAACCTATTCACCCCTGGGAATTTTTCTGGAAAACACGTCGAGCCGTTTTCTGGTCACTGTCTGGCTGTCAAGAGATAAAACATGCCTCAAAGCCCTTCACAGGTCCTGCACTTGGCGGCCTTCTTATTAGTTTGGGCATACTAAGAAAGCAAAGTTTAACCGTGATGCAGCAGTCTTGACTATTTCTTTTCGCTTTCTCTCCTCCCCTCTTCTTTTGCTTTTCTTGCCTTGTTTTTTTATTTTACCGGGCATTTACAACTGACAGGGTTCATTTTTTGAGGGAAAAGTTTTTGGGAAAGCTTTTAGCATGAAAGGAAAGGTAGGTGGGTAGTGGGAGAAGAATTTCATGGCAATTTTCGCGTCAACGTTTCTTTGTTTTTTGCCTTTTCCTCGGCCTCCTTTACTGAATCGTGCTTATCTGGTATGATTTGAAAGATCTCTTCAAGTTAGCTGACAAAGTTCTTGACCGTTAACAATTAAAATTCAAATAACAGTAACATTAAATTTACATGTTTAAACTTGTTTCTTGTTGAAATTTCCATGCTAGGAGCCAGTCTCTTTGTATGGAGACACAAAATTCTTCTCCCTGGCCAAGCTGGATCACTCACTTAGCCTTTCTACAATTAAAACGTTCGTGGAGGAAGAAGAAGCAAAGTAAGCTGATAACTAGCTCTAACGAATGGTTTAATAAATGTCAAATTTCACAAAATGACATCTTACTTATGAAATTTTCAGAATTTTACCTGTGCTTTCACAATTCTTGTGTAATTTGATATTTATTTTCTCGGGCTCCCATGAGAAATAATCTTGGGTGTTATTACAGATAACTAATTATATCTACAGCCCTTGAAAAATGTAAAAAAGAATGCGATATTGTTTAAATTATTCTGATACAAGATTTTTGTCCACTGAAAATTTAAATTACTCAATTTCCTGGTAGATTCCGTCTTAATTCTCATAATAGTTACCTTTAAAGGAATAATTTTACCATCCTGATCTTTCTAGCAATTAATCAAATAAAGCAATTATCAACAGACTTTAAGCGAATGGTTTTCATGGTTTTGGCGCTGTAAATTGACTAGTAGTCTGAAATGTTACAGGTCTCCACCCCTAACACGTAGGGGGCGCGGGGCATTCCCGACGTTATAATGCCGTCCGGTGACGTCACCTACTTTTGCGAATATGGTAGGTATTTTCTGATTGGCTATTACCTTTCCGAAATAGAAAACCTTTTATCATTGCTGTCTGAAGCGTGACGTGAAGTATAAAATTATTCTTTCAGGTTGCCAAGTAAACTGGTTTTAGAATGGTCTGAGGATGACAAGCTGGATCCTAACTCGAAGATCCCAGCAGGAACCACCATAGGTGCGTATTTCTCGATAAACTCTGTTGTATTAGACAATTTTCTTGGTAGCTACAGCTTTGTGCAGTTTCAATTTGAAAATTAATTTAATTTTCTAGACAATTGATCATAATTTGATACCAATATCTACCACACAAATTGGTTCTCTTTTGATTAGCACCATTTTAGGCCCATTGACATGGATTTACACCAGAGCAAGCAGCATGTCTTTCTTTATCGTACTTTATCGTTATCTTTTTTACATATTGTCACATTTTAAGGTTTTTCGATACAGTTTTTGGGAGACCATACCGATGTTTTTCAATCACCTTAAAAGTGATTTTATCCTTGTCCGATCGCTACAACATTTTCACCGGTGATTAACTATGAATTAAAGTTTGTCAAAATGCAGTTTTAAGTAAAATCGATATTACCATGACAACAATAAACAAAAAACTTTGAAATCGATAAAATCCGAATTTTGCGTGGTCTAGACCTGCTATTGAAAGTCCGACACCAGGTGTGGTGTTGGCAAATAACCTCCGTGAGAAGAAAAAAATTTCTGTATGTTTGAATTCAGATAAAACACAAGTATATTTCAAACCTTACATTTTCAATAGCCGTGAAAAAATGTTTAGTAAAAAAGTTCTCAGTAGCACACATTAACCTTAAGTAGTGTCAGAAGGCTGCTTAAGAGCGAATGCACAGAAAAATCGAGCAAAATCGGCAAATCGTGGCCACAGCTAAAAACCTAACTTACCCTCATTTTAAGTCTGTAATAAGGTTTTAATGAGTTTATAACACTGCTGAGGTTTGAATTTCAAAATGCGGCCGTGTTTGGGAATTATTTAAGATTTTCGATTTCAACGGTCCGCGGGCCTAAAATTAGCCGCCGAACACGGCAATATAGCCTAGCGACAGAAATGAGCTGACTTTCATAAACGAGCGAATATATTGGCAATCTTCTACTTAAATCTCAAAAAGCAGATATCTAACAATTTCTGAACGGCACATTTTTTAGATTTAGAGCATAAAATATCGACGAACCAGCAGAATTTTGAAACGTAATTTGCATAATGCCTATAAATACAACAATTTACCGCTAAAACCAAAATCGAATTTTCTATATGGGGGAATTCTCCAAATCACCCCTAATCCCGCTTACTACCTAATGAGATATAGTACTTCAACATTATCTGAAAGTTAGTCTGGTGTTCTCGCGAACGCTTGTAAAATAGATTGAGGTTATTTTGCCCCAAACAACCGCTAATTGACCCCAGGGTCAGTTGACACGTGCACGTCACCTTAGTTTTATGCATCGATTTGAGCTCGTTAAAAGGGCGAAACTAACAAGGTTCTTTTAATATGTACCTGTTTTAATGAAATACACGCAATCTTCAAAAGGAGAGGCCGTTCAATGGGTAATTTCTGTTCTTGAGATCTTGTAGATTGTGCCATGATTATACCATGGCGTCTGCGAGTGGACCTGAGTCTAGGTCTGTTTTCCCGTGACTGCGAAATCAGAATAACATCAAGAAATAATTCTCCCTCGAATCTTCGTAAGTGAATCAGCTTTGCAGTGCCTTACCTGAGATAAAAAGTGGGCCGAATAGCAAAACAATTCTAGCGCAATTTGGATCCTTTGTGGAACGCAGTGTATTGCTGAGCGAAAGGTGAGTAAACAAACGTAGGAAAGTACGTTACCATTGATTGCGTGACCGGCCAGTAAACGATAGTCTCCAGCGGAAAATAGGATTCGCAAAAATCTTGCTGATGTATATTTAACAGTTTGTTACTATAAATTTACACCTGGTTTGTCTAAAACTTTAAACAATGCATATCTGTCCAAGAGTATAAGAATGTTTCGAAAGATCCACCCCTAAATAACTGTGGGCTACTCCTTTTTCCCCATCACCGATGTGCACTTCCTTCCCACTGTCTTTTGCATGAGGCTCGTATGCCTTTTTAACTGTTATCGACACTTAAAACTGGCCGTTTAAGGCCTGGTTTAAGAACTTGACTGACTTCAAAAACCGTCGCGAACATGCGCTATTATTGTTGGACTTTGGAAGCTTTAAGCCCAAAATTATGGTGCAATCTCAAGAAATTTGCCCGGGTCTAATTTTAAGACAGGGAACGGGTACTAAGAAAGGGACGGTCTCATTTAGCAACCCGTGGACAATATGGGCATGCTTGCCTTCTGTCGCAGGGGCAACCTTTAAGGCCAGGTACGCCGCCCCCACCCGAGAGGATTGCATGGCATCCACCATTTCAGTCGCTTTTTTTACATCATGACCTTCAATTATTATGAATTATAATGCGGGCCTTGATCGTTGCCACCTTACCAGAAGTCTAATCTTCGCACTGTTCGACCATGAGAATCTCTATTATTATTCCATAAATGCACCATTTGACTTTTCCTTGCTCAGCTTCCGGTAAACCGATACTCCGAAGCAAAAATAGCTTTACAACGACTCTATCCAGGCCAGAACTCCTGATATCAACAAATATACCCCCTCTAAAGAGAGCAAACGTTCCCCGAACTATTCACTTGACCCACCCCATCCCTTCGTTAAGAAAAACTAAGCACTCAGTTCACTGGACAAAACACGCTCGTGAATATACCAAACTATAGCCGTTCATCCTACAAGCAATCTCAGTTTCAGCAAGCGTGGCCACGTTTCCAGTTGCTGTAAGATTAATTCGACACCTGCAACAGACACTGTAAATTAAATAGAGTGTTTTCACTCACGTGGCCAGCATCTATGCAAATTTATTGGAACAAAAGAAAGCGTTTGCATAAGAAAGGAGTTCAACTCCTACAGGATTGGTTTGGGACACCAACATGGCCGCCGTTTCATTGTTTTGGGACACCAATATGGCCGCCGTGACGTCATGTGAAAACACTCTATGCCTTGAAACTGTCAGGACGGGAAAGATTATAAAAGACTTAACAGGTGTGCGCGGCGGTTTCCTTTTCTTCCTTTCCTCCCATTGTAGCACTCAAATTCTGACCCTGATATTAATTCTAGTAGTAATTAATCGTTCCTGAGCCGATAGGCACAAGGATACCAGTTTCTTGCAAAATATGCTGTGACATCCGTTTGCTCATCCCCTTTTCTGCCTTCGGCCGCTGATTAGGTTTGGTTCTGTGCTTTGAAATAACTTTATGAACGAACATGATACGTGAGGGGCGTGTCCGGCTAAGGGCAAGTGACTCTCGGTGGTGAAGACATATACTGAGCTTGTCAGTATTTCGTAGCCTGTACCACGTCGCGAAAATAGAACAAGCCAAAGAAAAATAAGACGCCTTTCTTTCCCCAGCCCACGCAGGTTTTTCGCATTACTTTTTACTGCACAACTGATTCTACCTTTTCGAGCCGGAGCCAACATGGACGCCCTCCACTTCATTTTCGGCACCTGACTAAACGCAAGTGCTGACTTGTGCGCCTATGCCTCGTTTGCACTGAAGTAGCAGTATATGAAACCGCAATGGGCAAGAACAATTTCTTGAAAAGAGCAAACTATTTCCTCCTTAGCAGACATGGAGAACAACTACTAGGACTTAAGCAATGCCATTGCTTAAGTCCTACTAGACTTGAAAAGAGAAAGCTGATGCTTTCTCTTTTTTATGATTTACGGCTAAACAGTACAATTTCATGTAGCTTTTACGCAAAATTAAATACTTAGTTGTTTGCAGAATTGCATTTAACAACAAATTACAGAAATTTAACTAAGTTTAGATCTCATAGATAAGAATTGAACGGAAAAAACTTTTGGGGTAAAAAAGTAAAAAAATGTTTGCTGGAAAATCACTTAATGGACATATATACAATAGCAGAGATATCATGCCTGTAATTTTCCGTTCAATGCACCTTATGAGAAGTCTGACTAATCCACTGGTAACCCATACCTTAAAACCGCCTTGAACCTTAAAATTTAATCCATTTGCCTTTCATGCGTAGTGCAAATATATCTTCTAAACACTCCGGGGTTGGGGGTAAAATCAGAAGAACAGAACATTCAGTTACTGTACCATTTTTAATTGTGGGACAGTATGTTTGCTAATCATCTTAGTTAACCGCTTTTAAAATAGGACAAAAGGACACCTGGTCATACAGGAAAATGAATTTACTGTATCCCGAAAGCTTTGGGTGCACTTATTTTTCGCAGGAGACAATCGATAAATTCCTGGTCACGCAATCGGAGGTGAGTAACTAATTAAAAGTCACTGATACCATCGCCGCTTAGCAAATACACTACGTGCTGCAAAGGATCCAAATTGCGGTAGAATGTTTTCCTATTCGGCCCACTTTTTATCTCAGGTAAGGCACTGCAAAGCGGATTCATTTACGAAGGTTCGAGCGAGAATTATTTCATGATGTTATTCTGATTTCGCAGTCACGGGAAAACAGACCTAGACTCAGGTCCACTCGCAGACGCCATGGTACAATCTACAAGATCTCAACAACAGACATTACCCACTGAACTGCCTCTCCTTTTGAAGATTGCGTGTATTTCATTAAAACAGGTACATATTAAAAAAATCTTGTTAGTTTCTCCCTTTTAACGAGCTCAAATCGATGCATAAAACTAAGGTGACGTGCACGTGTCAACTGACCCTGGGGTCAATTAGCGGTTGTTTGGGGCAAAATAACCTCAAAATAATCAATCTATTTTACAAGCGTTCGCGAGAACACCAGACTAACTTTCAGATAATGTTGAAGAACTATATCTCATTAGGTAGTAAGCGGGATTAGGGGTGATTTGGAGAATTCCCCCATATAGAAAATTCGATTTTGGTTTTAGCGGTAAATTGTTGTATTTATAAACATTATGCAAATTACGTTTCAAAATTGTGCTCGTTCGTCGATATTTTATGCTCTAAATCTAAAAAAATGTGCTGTTTAGAAATTGTTAATATCTGTTTTTTGAGATTTAAGCGGAAGATTGCCAATATATTCGCTCGTTTATGAAAGTCAGCTCATTTCTGTCGCTAGGCTATATTGCCGTGTTCGGCGGCTAATTTTAATTTTAGGCCCGCGGACCGTTGAAATCGAAAATCTCAAATAATTCCCAAACTCGGCCGCATTTTGAAATTTAAACCTCAGCAGTGTTATAAACTCATTAAAACCTTATTACAGACTTAAAATGAGGGTAGGTTAGGTTTTGAGCTGTGGCCACGGTTTGCTCGATTTTTCTGTGCATTCGCTCTTAATATCATTTTTCGATGATAGGAAATTTTGTTGTATTTTCTTTCTTGCGATCCTGATAACTAACCTGATTTTTCACCACCTGTCTAAGTGCAACTTTATTCCAAATTTTGACTTTGAGCGCTGATCTGTGTTATCTCCAAAACGGCTCGACAGAATTCTTTTGAAACCTCATCACATAATCTTCATGATGTGATAACAACGTCTGAAACTTTCATTAAGATTAATTCACTGCAACACCTTGATACAGTCAAAACCCGCGTGTAAGAACCTAGCGGTTTAAGAACCTACTGGCAGAAATTTCCCATTTTTATACCCTAAAATATAAGAACCTGTTTAGCCAAGCAAAATATATTAGGTTCTTATAGGTGAGTTATGGCATATTTTCATAAGCATTTTTACAGTCAAACCAGGTCAAGCGTTCCCGTCGCTAATAAACTAATGAATTCATTAATGGAAAAATGATTTCGTTTGTTGATTCAATAATCCATTCATAAAATGAATAATCCAACGATCAAATTGTACCTCGATTCAATAATCAAATGTTGATTTGGTTTATGAACAAAATCTACCTGTTCTTTATTCTTGTCTGTTGTGTTCAATCGTATTTGCTTCCCCTTTCCTGCCGTTTACGATTGCGTTTTTCACTGCTTTTAATCATAACAGCTAGAATAGACAGACCGCAAACGCAAAGAAACTGACAAAGGCCGAGGATCGAAATCCACCAATCACCGCACATACACTGACCTCAGTTTGACCGTCGTGTTTTCTAAGAGGTCAGGCCTAGGTCTGTTGCACTGATTATTGGCAGCAAACTGGCGTACATGTAACTGTTTGTTTGGGTTTGAACTTCAGAACTCGCCAGCGCTCGACTCTCAGAAAAAAAAAGAGGAAAAAACAAAATTCTGAGGTCAACTTGTGGAAAGTGTAATTTTTCAAAAAACAGTAATCGAATCAACATTCGATTATGGAATCGAGGCTAAATATGACTATTGGACTGTTCATTTTATGAATGAATTATTGAATCAACAAACGAAATCATTTTTCCGTGAATGAATTCATTAGTTCGTTAGCGACGGGAACGCTTGACCTGGTTTGACTGTAACTAAAAAGTATACAGATACTTTATTTATAGTGTATATAATTGTTTAGTTAGTCTTGCACAAGGCTCATGACAAGACAGTTAAAAATAATAAATGCTGTATCTTAAAGGACCAAACCTATTTTTTCTGCTTGTACAGGAAAGGTTTCTACTGAAAACATAAGAACCTAATTAGGAACCTACTTTAACCTAAATTGCCAATAACTACCCCCAAATATAAGATCCTGTTTTGCCAAACTTGGAAAAATGTAGGTTCTTACACGCGGGTTTTTACTGTATTTCAAGAGAAACCTAGCCTACGAAACCGGCCAAAAATGCGCGTTACAATTTTCACTGTTTTCACGTTATGCTAATTTTTCCAAATTGATGCCCATCATGCATACCTCCATGGCTAGCCATTTTAGTATGAATTTTATTGCATATTTTAAATGTAAAACGTTGACAATTTTCAGACTGAAATGTACATAGCCTGGTAGCAACTTAAACGGTGTATTTTCCATTTCTTAATCAGTTGCCATGAAAGTGGTGATTTCGAACGGAAAGGGTGAATCTGTGAACAAACTGCCTGGTGACAGAAGAAGACTGTTGGTAGAGTTAAAGGTCATTTGGCATGGTAAGAGATAAATGCTTTACATTGTAAGGAGAAGTACATGATTTGTGGCGGGCTCGTAGTATGCATTGCTGGCTGCTCGTAGCAATGAGCTTTCCTCTTTTTTAATCAAGCATTGACTCATAAAACTGCAACAAAAAATTAGGTCTCCATTTGCACAAAATACCTCTCTCAGGAGTTAAGAAATTTGTTTTTACACTTGTTAGTTTTACTTGTTTGTTATTGCTTTTGTTTCTAATGTTACTATTACTGTTTTTTTTTTTACCATTATTAGATAACACTCTTTAGATCTTAGGACGAGGACGACTAGAAGGACGACATTTGATTTTCAGTTTTCCCGCCTGTTCTCTAAAAATAGACACGTCGGAAAGCTTTATTGTACTTTTTTTTAACCACAAAAGTTAGCAGGCTTATTTCCGTTGAAGGAGGTTAAGCCCTCTCCTGATCGCTAAATCATAAAATTCCTAACATTTGATAACCTGTTTTCGCCACTACGACATCCTCCCTACGGCAACGGCAGCGAAAACGTCAGTTATAAATTGAATTCCCGTTTTCTAAATCTTTGTCGCGTTTATTCCAATTTGCTGATAATGGCAAGTGTAGGCGAATTTCCCTGGAGTTGATTTCTTGAGGACCGCACTCAACTTAAGAGAGGGAAAAAGAGATTCGTCGTCGCTTGTTTACGTCCTCCATAAAACTTGCAATTAGGCATTTTCACGTCGTAGTCGTGCAAGGACGGTAAAGAAATGTACAAAAATGCGTGATGCACGTGCAAAGTTGTTGTTTTGCGTAATAAACCTATTGCTTTTTTGACGTCCTGGTTGCCGTCGCCGTCGTAGTTGCTAAAGCTCCCTAGCAGAATGACGACGGCTACCACATTTTCCCGCCAAAATGTTGGTTCACGCGCGCACCACTTAGTATTGGGAAAATCTCGTTGTCGTAGTCGTCCTCATATTAGAATCTAAAGCTCTGTATTTTGATCTTATAAGGATCGTTATTGTTATTTACTTATGTATTTTTTGCAGGAAGTGACAAAGATGGAGATAAAGTAATCACTAATCCTGTCTGTCAACATGGGGGAAAGAGCCGGCCTTACTGGGTCAGAAAAATGGGTAACTGAGGGCGCTTTCCATTTGTCAGAACTGAGCGGCCAAATCATTCCCAACGCAATGCGAATTTCCATTTCAATCAAATCTCTCCAGCCAGATCAGTCAAATCCTAAGTAGTATGCACCAAGGAAATGGTTGTTTAGCAAAAACTCTTGGAAAAAGCGTATTTCATTATCAAACCGACTGGTCGGGCAATGGTCCAGCCGGCCAGTTCTGACAAATGGAAAGCGCCCTGAGTCTGCTGCAATGAGATTTAGTGTTTGTATCCAGTGGATATGGTTATCCAGTGTTTGAACAACTGGGGCCAGTTGAGTTTTGAGTATTTGAATTTACCTGTTCGTGCTGTCATCTCAGAAAATATTACCCTCCTTGGCCCACATACTCTTCAGCTTTAAGTGTTACTCAGTGATAGTTCAACTGCACCATCAATTAAGAGCCTTCCAGTCCATCGTATCGAGTTTACCGTTACAGGTTTGTAAAAAATGACCAGCCTGGGACAGTTTTAGGTTGCGCTTACGCTAGATGTGATTTTTCTGGATTCGTGATGATTGCGAACAATTTGGTTCCAGATTCGTTTTGAATGGGAACATTGTATGTTTGATCCACCCTGTTAAAATAACTCGTACATCTTTTGTTATCTTGTTTCTCCTTTGTCATTTCTGTTTATTTAGAGGCTCATCCAAACAAATTCACTGTTGGAATGTTGGAGACACCTCTTAGAGTTGGAGTTCCTTTCCAGGTATACGTTTTTGTTTCACCCCCCCCCGCCTCTCCACCCCGTTCGTGAGAGGATGTAGCTCCCTTAGGGGGTGGGGGGGGCACTTCTTTCTAGTAATAGTCCAATGGGTATGTTCCCCTGGATGGGGTCGCATTTCCACGACTGGGTTGACTATAATTGGGAATAATGGCTTTGCATTTTCCGAAGAGTTACTAGATCTGGGTCTCAGGTTTTCGGGTTTTTAGGGAAAAAATCATTATAAGAAGGGGCTTAAAAATGGGAAGTTGGAATTGTGCAGAAAATTATATTTGCCCAAAAGTGACTAAGATGGAGTCTATAATTGGCCACAGAATAGCCTATAGTTGTGAAGGGGTTCTAAGAGGCCAGCAACACATAATAAGCAAAATATTATCCAAGTATCCCTAGCAATATGTCACTAGAGGATGGTAACAAGGTTTGGCTAGTCTAGAATAGCAAATATTATAGAATACTATGTTTTTTTGGTTAAGATTCCACTGAATTTGTTGGATGAGTTTAACAACCCTTCAAAGTTATCAGAGGAAAAAGCACCCGTGTTAAGTGCAAGGTGAGTGTATTTTGATAATTTTTTAATGAAACATGGATTAGTAACCTTGGTGTGAAAGTCAATCCTGCCTTCAACGGAATAACATATCTTGTTTATATTGTTAGCGGACTGGAGTTGACTCACCAGGGAACATCAGTGAAGGGAAACAGCCTGATCGTTAAGGGTGTGGTGGCCCTTGGTTCTGTACCATCCCATGCAGGAAAGGTGAGGGGTTTTTTGGAAAACATCTTGGCCGATTTGATTCAATTTCTCGTAATAAAATAGAGTACGACGATATCATCAGTAGCCTTCATGATTCAAAATCTCAAACTTACGTTAAATTTATCTGAACAGTTTTTTTGTTTGTTTGTTTGTTTGTTTGTTGTTAAAGGATTTTAATCTAAAGATCACCCTACCAGGACTTGAAGAAGGTTCGCAGAGCTTGAAGATCAGGTTACTTCCAGGTACTGTTTTGACGCCATATGTGGGTTGAGTTTGTTGTTGCTTCTCTCCCTTGCTCCGAGAGGTTTTTCCTCCGGGTACCCGGTTTTTACCTCTCCTTAAAAATCAACACTTTCAAATTCTAATTCGATCTAGAACCCACGGACAAGTTTCATCGAGTTCTTAAGAACTCCTAAGTGGTCCGTGGGTAATACAAATCACAATTTACAATTTTTACCAGCATGTAAATTTTCCTTTTTTTAAAAAAAAGAGAGACACTGTCTAAAAAGGATGCGTTCCTCTGGGTTGATCGGGATCAGGATCAGTGATCTGGGATCACTCGGATCATGCTACATCAAATGAACCAAAGAATCCTTTTCCAGGGTTGATTTGTCGGTTCCTTTAATGTGCTGTGGTCCGAATGATCTCTGATCACTGATCCTGATCCGGCTCATCCCAGTAGAACGCAGCTCACAAGGCAACGTGGCTGTAGGGTTTTACCGTGACGTGCACGGTCCCTTCTCACTCACAATTTTTGACTCACGTTAGCATGACTGTTTCTGTTTACTAAAACACGTTTTGTGCTGCAGGCCCACCAGAATCCCTTGCGGTCACACCAAATGACAGTGAGGTCACCATTGAAAACAACAGTGCCCTGCAGCTACAAGTGCAGGTCCAGGACAAGGCGGGAAACCTTACAGTTCAACCAAGCCTTAATGTTGTCTGCAAGGTAACTATGCTAATGTTCACCCTGTTGTGATTTAACTAACTGTGGAGTAATTGCTCCTTATTCCTAACATTAGAACTTCAATTTTAAAGTGCTGGTTCCACAACTTTGTTAAGGAGTCATGAGGCGTTGAGTATACTCTGTTCAAGCAAATTGACGATTGTTAGACGTTCATTGCAACTACATATTTTAAAATCCCTGATAGTTCTAAGCTTTTGAGAATGCTGAAAGCACCTCAGTTTTGAACTTTTAATGTCATTTCTATGGTCGATATTTGTACCGATCATGAAAAATTGTCGATTTTTTTTTTTCAGTATCACCGATGGCCATTTCTGATGATGTTTCTTGGGAAATTATATTTATTTATTTATTTACTATTATTATTTTTTTAACAAAGAGGTACATTGATGGTGGCCGCCATCTTAAAAGCAATGTCCAAGATGGAGGCGATAGTATCATCGTTCGCACTGCAAAATACACCTGCTTTGCAGTTTACAATCGGCGACAAAATTGTTGAGACATTGTCCTCAAATGGGATAACCTCGAAGAACAAAACAATACGCACTCCTCCCCCATCCCGTCCATTGAAGGTTGGGGTGTTTCTTGTTTTCAACAGGTAGCTCGAACAGCGGCACAACGTTGCATGGAGGGGGTAGGGAGGGAAAGATCTATTTCCCCCTTTAAAGTTGGCGAGACGTCAGACTAGTTTTGTGGCCGATTGTAGGGAAATCGCGCGAGAGAGAAAGAGAAAAAAAAATAGAACGCTATCATCACTTCATTTCCGAGTCTCATCGAGCACAGCTCTCGACCAATCAGCGTGTGAAAAATCGCTTTGTTATTGTAAAACTTGAATTTGATAAGAAGCAACTTCATGTGTTGTAGCTGACAGGCACACCAGGCTTACCAACTTACATAGGAGACTGCAGTGCATCTGGAAAGGCCTCCCTAACAGGTGCTGATATCAGTCTGAAGCAGATCACCAAGGAAACCAAATTAAAGGCCAAGATAGAGTTACAGGTTTGTCATTTGATTAGGGAAATGGGAATGGTCCCTTCTTGGGTTTTCATGTCCTGCTTTGGTGCGATCACCCTGGGTGCAATGCCTCCTTTTGTCGTCTTGAGTGAAAAGGAAAAGAGGAGGTTCTGTCTAAATCACGTGATCCCATTGAAGTCGCTGAAGCCAGAATATCTGGACCAATCGTCAAACTGGTTTTCCAAGTGCGAGCGACCGTTTATTGATTAACCGATGGCCATACCTAAACCCACTCTACCGTGTGCACAGCTTTTAGGCTTGGGTTCAACACAGTTTATCAGCAACAATAACCTCATGTATAATAACAAGCTTACTCGATTTGTAGGGAGTCTTTCTCAAATACGCCAAAATCGAGAAAGTAAAAGGAAGGCACTGTCAGCAGGGTGTGGTGCGTAGTCGTAACATTCTTACTGTACATCTTTAAATTGTATCTGGGCTTGGCTGACCAACACCCCGAACCTCAGCATGCTTGTTTGTCGTTTTTGTAAAAACACACGACAGTAGCCCTGATTTAGTGACTGGTTATGATCTTTTAGCATCATAAAGAGGTTGCTGCAGTGGAGAAGACCATTATTGTGACACCCAGTAGTAAAGCAGCAGAGCTGGAAGTGTTTTACAAATTTCCTGATGCGAAACAGAAGAAGAAGCTGGACGATGGACAGGAGCTGCCTTGCACAGCAGGAAACACACTTACTGGACTGAGTATGTGATAAACCAGAAATCAGTGTACTTAATTTGATATGATTTTTTCCTCTAGTTAGCCTTAATTTGCGTAAGAAATTAGTATAGGTAAAAGCGTGATTTGTAGTGATATTTGCCATAGATACCACGAATGGTATTTCGAATTTGTTATACGTAATTTCACGAGGCGTTAGAGGAGTGAAATATGAGACTATTTTGAAATATTACAAGTGGTATTTGTGCCAAATATCACGTACAAATCATACTATTATTTATTTATACGACTACCCGTAAAAGGGTTGTAATTTTCACATCTAGATATGTCAAATTAAGCTGAAATACCACTGCTCTAAGGCAATTGCACAAATTTCTCATATAGTAGAGGCTTAAAAAAGAGAAAAAAAGGTTTGAAAATTACGTGTGCACCAAAATGCCAATCCATATCATCGAAGCATGACCACATCAGCTAAACATTAGGAAGCTTATGCAACGATAAATAATACGAAACAAGCAAACAATAGGTTTTGCCTTAACTGAACTCGATAATAACGACACGTCACACTTTTTGGTGCGAACGCAAAGGTATTTCTGGTCGTCGCTTCTCTCCACCCGAACAGGAAACACGTCTGCGTTCGCCCGCTATCCTTTGCACAACTCTAACGCAAAATTTCCCGCGAACTTAAATGGTGGCATAAACATATGAAGATACATTTCCACTCTTTATAACTTGGGAGTGGTCCCTTACAATGTGTCAATATGAACATTGGTCATGAGCAAGTTGCTATCACGATTGAGTTTGAAAGATCGAGTCTTCACTGTATTGGTGACGTCTTCGAGCCAGTCGTCTTCGTGGTTACGTAAACTGCCCATTCGTCACCTACGAAACGAGAGGAGGACTTGAGCCCATATGTGTCCCGCAATTGTTTTGGGGATCGTTACTAGGGACACGCCCGTCAGCTATTGGCCAATTTGTTTTCCCTGTTCTCTGTAACAGTCCAGAAGTCTTTGCGAACGTCAACTTGGTCTAGTTTCCTTCTCAGTGTGTATCAGTCAATTTTCTTCTGGTGTTGGCTTAGTTCAATTTGCAGTTACATTTTATCTTCAGCCAGCTGTCAGTGGCACGGCCTGGTTTCCTCCAAAGTTGGTTAAATTTAACCCAGCGTAGCCATTTTCTGGTCATTAGGGACCTTAAGATCCGAGGACGGCGACTGTAGCTCAGACGTCGTTAATATAAAGTTCTATCTCTTGTTGCAAGGGCAAGTTAATATTGCAAATGTAACTATAGCATCTTGCTGTCACCGACAGGTTTTAGAATTCTGGATGAAGGACAGAGAGAAGTAACAATAGACAACTCCCTAGCCAGCAGATTTAAGGTAGATCCAAGAGAGGTCTAAGGGCCTGTTTACATGGAGTGGGGGATCCCGGTCTAGTGGGGTTGGTTTCTTTTGTTTTCACGCTCTGGGGGACACAAAACAAAAGAAACTTACCCCACTAGACCGGGGTCCCCCACTCCATGTAAACAGGGTCTTAGTCATTCTAAATGGAAAAGATATAAATAATTCAATTGCTCCTCTGTAAATATCCCTGCGAAATTCCTTGTGACAGTTAACTTAGCCCAGCTTTTAAAGTAGCGAATTAAATTTTATATCAATCGTCCATTTTCGGGTTGTCGAGAAAACCATCAGATCTTTATCAAAGCAAGACTTGGTGCACAATCATCCATGCGAACACAAGTTTAATTAATCTACGTGTCAATGAATATTATATTTTCATGAAAAAACTTTTCAATAACGAAATCCAATTAGAGTTGAGCCTGCGATCATTTGAAAACTGGAAACTTGTCAGCGGTAAACTTAAAAAAAAAACAAGACATAACCTGGATGGGTCGACACCTGAGCCGGCGATACCGTCAGGTGATACTGGTGAGCGGATACTCTGTTTTGACAGCTGTCATCTGACCACAACATGGATGTGGAATATCAGGTTGCAGGCTCCCAAACTAGCTAGAAAGTGTAACATCCCACATTGGTTGCCCTGTGGTGCGGACTAACGGGTGGGCGTAAGGTCACGTGACTACCATAATTTTTCGGATGGGTAGGTAACCAAATTTTCTTAGCTATGGGGCCCCGCTATGAAATGACGAGTAACAGGAGTTTCTTTTATAAAGAGGCTGAATTGAAGGCAATTGGAAAAGGCCCATTGTAGAACACGAGTAGCCACCCACAATGTGAGCACAGTCAAAGACAGAACATATCAATAAAGGAAATTGGACAAAATAGCGCAATCCACTAGGTAAACACGTCAACTCAACAATCAAATGCAAGGCTCTTTAGGCAATAGAAATAACACACATCATCACATAAGCACACTTAGTGCGCTTTCCATCTGAATTGGCCTGCCAGACCAGCCCACTGTTAATGAAAATTCCACCGTCAATCAGATCTGTCCAGCCAGAATAGTTTATTTTTAAATTCTGTGCACAGCAGTGTTGGTTTTCTGTTGAAAACTCGAAAGAAGGCCTATATCGTTTTCAACACGAACGGTCTGGCTGGCAATTCCTGACTTTTGATAAGCGCCCTTGGTGTGAATTAGCAGTTGTAAACTGTTACTGTTTATCAATGTGATGACTTGTCTTCATTTGTCTCCAGGTTAACTGGACTCCAAAAGTTGCCAAAGACATCATCAAGCAAGGGATTCTTCCTGATGTGAAGGTAATTACAGGACTTCGTGAAAATAAGTTTGTCGGTGACAGGGTGGCACAGTTGAATAGTGCGCGGCCTTCGGTGCGTGAGGTCCCCGGTGACTTTACATCCTTGATTCATCTTCTTTCCTTTCTTTGTAGTTTTAACTAGCTTTAAATGCCCTTAAAATGGAGCACTGATGGAGAAAGGGGGGGGAAGGGCTGTGCTCTAGTAGAGCCCGAGCCCGGTGGCCCCTGGCGCCTAATGTTTGCTCCCGGGCGACTAGAAAATCTCAGATTTTTCATACAAATCATATGCTGGACTAATCATATGCTACAGGTTCAGAGCACTGTGCTTCCTTCAATTTTCCTTAGAGCACAGCTGCACCAACTGACAAACAGGCAGTGCTCCATTCAGGCCAAGATTTGTGTTCTGAGGTGAAAGTATTGTCATTTGTGTGTTTATTGTAGGCACCTCTTTCTTGTGATGAACCGAAATACTGCCAAGTTAGTATGACCGGTGGAGCAGGACTGGAGTTTTCCTTCACGTTAAGATAACACCCATTGCTATGAACGTTTTTGTAAGGAAGAGAACTTGTCAGTCTTAAGCGAAAGAGAAACAAAGGATCATTATGCGTTTCTGGGAAACTGCCCACCTACCCCTCCCCTAAGCCAACATTAACACTACCTCTCACTTAAGGGAAAATGTTGGCTTAGGGGAGGGATGATCCGAAACAAAATTGAATAAAAGTGACACAGTACAGTGGACTTTTTTACAACAGACACTGATCCCAGGGAGATGGACATAGCTTTAAACCGCTTACCTTGGCTGTTAGTTGCCTGTAAATTACCTCTCTACTAATCTCTCTTTTCATAACTTCCCCCCACCCTCTCCCCGGGTGTGTGACCTGCCTTTCATGAACGTCAAGTATATCTATGCATCGCCTTTTCAGTATCCTTTTCCCCATTGAATGTGCTAATATCATTCTACGAATATAAAGTTTTGAACTAACTTTTCGGGCCATTATTTTGAGCACTAGGCGAGTTTTCAGAGCCAATTGAGAATCGGAGTTCGTCTTGCGAATAGTTAGGGAAGTTAAGCAAATAATTCGACAACGGCTATAACAATTCTTTTGACGTTTGCCGTTGCCATTGTGGTTGTCCCTTATAAGCTGGTTTAGAAAAAGAACAAAGCAATTTGTCTAATTTCGGTCACGCCCTATCTACAGACCCCATGCCGACGCTCCCAGCATCTTGAAGTGCTCATGCAATGAACCT